CTTTGCACATGAGCCTTCTCTATCTCCAACATATTCTTCCTAAGCTCTTGAGTCAATCGTATGTTCTCCATTTCCGCAACTTCAGCTTTCTGCGACATATCCATGACCACGTTCTGCGTCTCAGCTTCCAATTTCTTGAACTTGTCAAGCATTGCCGATTTATCAAAGAACGCTTCATCGCCGTTCTTTGGATCTTCGAGCAAGTCTTCCGTATCCCTTTGCGAGTCCTCAACAAGATTTCTTTCGTCCTCCAGTTGTTGTATCCGTGACGACAGCTGTGCATTCAGATTATTCAGCTGAGCAATCTCTGCTCGTAGTTGTTGCAGTTCATCACTTGTGTTCATTTCAACAGCTGTAGTCGATGTAAGGTCTATGAGTACATCGGACGGTTCGGCGAGCTGAAAGGTATAGTGCAAAGCTCTAAATCATCATCAACTGTCCAACTTATTGCAAAAGAAAGGTGCAAGGTGAAAGCAAAAAGGTGGAAATGAAAAAATTTGACGGAAGGTTGGAAATCAAGGTTTAAATTCGCCATCAAAAAATAAATTTCGTAGCTGCACAGATGAAACGCAGGCAAAGAAACGCATTAACTTTCGATTACCTTCTTTTCCACCTCTGGTTCCGAAGATAAAGGTATCAGTATTTCCTTCTCCTTCTGCTCCTCTACCGATTTCTCCAAAGCCGTCTGGTCCTCTTGTAAACGTGCACGATCTTCTGAAACAAATTACTTGATGCACTAGGATAAGTCTGGTTTCATGGCATATAAAAAACTCGTAAAATTCAAAAAATCCAGAAAACTGTAGTGGATATACGTCAAAACAAAAGATTCGAAGAGTCACTGAGAACAACTACAGTTCAAACGACTGAAAAACCTCACCTCTCAAGGTTGCCTCAGCTTTTTCAGCACGTTCGCGTAACGATGCCACCATTGACTCGATATCTGAGCGTTGTTTTTGGGCTTCCTGTAAGAAAATAGATTATATATGACCATCGACATTAGCAGATCGGGACGAGAGGGATGTGGGTCGCAAAATTCTTATAAGTGCTCTAAAAGAGTTCGAAAATTATGAATGCATTTTTATTTTTATCCGTAAACGTATATGTTTCTTGCGACAACTTCAGGGAATCTTGAGAAAAACCTGAGCGAGACTTCTTTTTCAATGGCATCCAATAAAAACTCTAATGTTACCCCCCCC